TATATATATATACATATATATATATAACTATTATAACATTATGTATTATTAAATTACTTTAATTTTGGGAGGGTCAATTTAATGAGATTTTAAATATAGGCTATGCTTATGAATGATATTCATGGGGGAGAGGATTAGTGGGTGGTTGAATCTCAATCATTCATTAATCTCTTCGATGAGCACGGTTAATTGTTGTTTTTACCGTCTTTTGCATATGTAGAATGCACGAGCACTTAGTTTAGGCCCTCCTAGATCCTAGGAATTGGTGTGTTTATTTTATTTGTGTATTCCAACATGTTATCATAAGGGTTTGTCCAAAACTTACTTTAAACTCATATAACGTAGCGACACCCTAAGGACAATAATTAAGGATCCGTCTAGCGAACTTAAAAAAATTCTATGAGCTAGGATATATCCCTAATTGATATTAAACTTTCAACATTTAAACTCAGTGACATCTTAAATCTACCAACATTTTCTAGGAATTTTTAGAAGCCTTTAGACCCCTTAATTAATAAACCCTAATTTACCCATTAATTAGGCCTCGATAACTTCAGAAAATTCTAATAAATCCATTTCAACTCAAAAAATTACCCATAATACCTCAAACTCTTCAGATTTTAAACCTTAATCTTAGATAATTAGGGCCTCTTATTTGGACTTCAATTTGAACCTTAATTTAACTTTAACTAAAAAATTACTTTTTTGCCCTTATTAAATAATTAAAAATTTTTAAAAATTCCAAATTTTCTCCCAAACACTTGGGAGCACCTCTTTAAATTATTCCTGACCTTTAGAGATGATTCCAATCAGTTTGGAGTTGATTTGGATTAAAACCCCTAAAATCACCCCTAATTAATAAATTTTCGATAATTTCTTTAATTGCCCGAAACTTCTAAAATTTATATCTTTGCCTAGAAAATTTCAAATCCAGCAAACGCAAAGCCTAAATACTCCTTGTAAACCCTAATATTTAACTAAAATGCTAGAATCCCTAAACCTAACATATTTCAAATAGTAGCCTTTTGGACTCCCTCAGCCTAGCACTTAGGAGGACTCGGGACCTTCCAAAATTGGCTAATGCAACTTAAACTTAAAAAATCACTATCCTAAGCATTAAAACTGGTCAACAAATTAAAATTAACTAAAAGGGACCCTAATTCACTAATATTTAAACTTTAAATAAAGTTTCCTTTTCAGACCTTCAACAAATCTGAATTTTAGGTAACTTAAACTAACTACCCTACATAGAACCCATCCAAAGCCACACAAGTCTATTACACACACATAGATGTGCTAGGGCACCACTTCTAGTTCTAGGATTAGGGTCGGTGCTTTATTTATTTTTCCTGCTTATGTGATGCTTTTGTATGTAGCATGGATGATTGATTGATGTGTTTTGATCCGTTGTGCTGTGGTTGAGCTTTACTTTATTATATTTTCTATACATTGATTATGCTTCAATTTGTGCATTAGATTGCCCATGGGCTAGGACCACTTTTATACTAACTCAGTCTTATGCAGGTGGCCACGCTCTTGCAGCGCTAAAATAAAGAGGGCAGTCATAATTAAAGCTTTATACACTAATTCTATTTTTCTGTAGATGCTCCAGAAATTGCTAAAGCCCCCTTCCTTAAATTAAAAGAGTGTGACTAAGTGTGTTTATTTTTCTGCATATATAAACTGCTTGGGATGTTATAACTGCTTGAGATTTTTGTTAAGATAACAATGCAGGAGTGCGGGTCTAGATTTTTCTTTTTATAATGTAATATACTTTATTATTAATTTAGTTGTGAAAGTCTTTAAAAGTTTGGCATTTCAAACTCTAGATACCTAAAGAGAAAAAGAAAGGCCCCTCTTGGAGAATTTCTTAGTCATTTTGGGTACCCTTTTGGAGGATGAACCATACGGAGCTCGAAGAAGACGATCCAAAGGGAGATGATCTGGAGAAGGAAGATCCACTCGAAGACGAAATGCCCGACTTTTAAAACTTGCGTCGTTCATTATGATTAGAATGCAGATTGTTGTCGGTGGGGCCTGAACACCATTACTTTTCTGCAGATCCTGGGTTGTAATTATACAGCACTTGCTGGGGACTTTACTTTACTATATTTTATGGATTTATATTGATGTGTTTACATTGATTGCGCAGTAGAAATTGCATGCTTTTTCTAGGTTTGTTTTCTTGCATGTGCTTGGCATAATTTTTGCTAGGCTCTCTAGGATAAAATTATTTTTTTACTCGTAACTAATATTCAAAATTTTAAGGTTTAAATAACTTAGAAACTTAACGATCTAGAGAATAGTCAGAATCGTTCGGGGTCGCATGCATATTAAATACATTCTTCTCTCTCCTTCTAATAAGACACCTCCCCGCCTACGGGTAGAGTCCGGATAATATGGCCTATGAGGATGAAGTGTCAGACTTGGGGAGGCTGTCTTTTCTAAAAAATTATTTTTATATAAGCATTTTTTTAATCTCAAGCATACATGATTTGGCCTTTTCAACTAGCATGCATAGCATTAGAAACCAACTTACTTAAAATTTAATTGCATTAGCTCTAGGAGTATTCACCTTACATAAGTACAGGGCCAATTAGGAAACTCTCTAGATGTCGGCCCTACTTCCAAAAAACTAAACTACCTACTCATCTTTCATAATGACTGGATAACATGAATTTTACACGTTTAGGTGGTTAGGGTTTAGGGTATAAGCCCAGGTGCATTAGCTAGGACACGGATGTTAGTGTTGGATAAACACTAAGCCCACTTTAGATATAGGATTTGAGGCTACTACATTGGGTGTCTCGTAGTAGGCCTAAATGGTGGGTAAGTTCCTTTTCTTCAGGGGCTGTGAATCCTGCCTATCCGCATCACATGAATGGCGCCACTTCCATCATTTCCTTCTGTATATTTTGAGTGATTGATTAGTTTTCTTCTCAATGTCTTATTCCCTCCGGATGTCATTGTGAGCCGTGCATGTTGACTTAGCCACTTGAGCCCCTTCTTTCCTTCTAAGTAGGAAATTTCTAATGTCCCTTTTGTGTGCCAATCCCCTTTTATAGGAAGAATAATATTGAATAATTAATCGAGATTTTCTTGGGCCCTAGGCTTGAGATGTAATTAACCACGGGAGCTTGCGCTCGTGGAAAATAGAACTCCATCATCAAATAAATCTCACTCGAGCTGATGTATCAGGTTTGTTAAGTGTGGCAGAGATGAGGATGCTCAGGTGGATGAGTGGCTTTACCCTTAGAGATAGGATAAGAAATGAGCATATACGTGAAAAGGTTGGAGTAGCTCCAGTAGAAGATAAGATTAGAGAAAGTCGCCTTAGATGGTTTGGTCACATAAAACGGCGGCCTTGCGATGACCCGGTTAGGAGAGTAGAGGTATTAGATTTGACTTATGTTAAGAAAGGTAGGGGTAGACCTAAAAAGACTTGGTTAGAAAATATTAGGAATGACCTTTCTTTATTAGATTTAAACGAGAATTTGACTTTTAATAGGACACAATGGAGAAAAAGGATTCATGTATCCGACCCCACGTAGTGGGATAAAGGCTTGATGTTGTTGTTGTTGTTGTTGTTGAGCTGATGTATCAGGTGGGGGAAACCATTGTTTTGATTAGGTCGTATATATTACTACCCATCGGGGTACGCTGGCGAAAGTCGTTATCCCCAATGGTTAGTCGTATGTACGATATAATCTATCCTCTCATTGGCCCATTTGCGAGGAGCACGAGGCCTGCGATCGTCTCTATTCCTCAGGGTGGTGCGGTCGTACACCCTTCGCACTCTGGAGCAGCCGGCGGTGTCATTTCGGAGGTCCAAAAACATATGCTTCTATATATCAATTTGCTCCATTTGACGAGTAAAAAAAAACATTTTTTTGATGTTACATATTAAGGTATGGCCTTTGAGATTGAGTACTTGAGATATGATCTGAGGAGGGGGGAGAGCATTGTGACAATGAATGAGGTTGCTAAGGTTGTAAATGTGGTATAAGCTGCCCATTTTGTCTTTGATGTGATAGGCACTAGTTTGATTTTCAAGAGGTGAGGTGTCATATCATCATGGTATTAGTTATGTAAATTGGCATAAAACTAGAATATTTTTGCATGAAGTTCTATGAAGAACAACGAAATGTCTGGAGCATTGATGGCCAAGACAGGATTTCCCTTGTGAGATTTTTATTATGATATGTTTGTCCAAGAAGTGCAAGTTCATCTGCCAACATTTTAGTCATTGAAGGTATATAGTAACATGCTTGAGAATAGAAAATAATAGATAGATATCACATCAGATCTCTGATACCATGTAAATAAAGAGAAATTTTATTATTGAACATCTTGCATTACAGAGCATAAGGTACAAAGTTAACAGGTAATTGAATCCATCCAACTAGCATTGCTAATATATATGGTTGTTTACATCAACATATTTACTACCATGATCCGATCCCTAAGATCATGCTGAAATTTTATTGCTATAAGTGAACAGTGACCTCCCATATTTGGAGCAATTATTTGAATATTTAAGATATTGCCTAAATAGTTTCCTCCTAAAAACCAGGAACAAGCTCCAACCTTGCAAAAGTCTGAATCCTCGAAGCTACAATTAACTGTACAAATGATGCTGGATGCTAATAACAAAAGTGGCGTTAAGTGGAAACTTATGAGAAAAAGAAAATAGCGCAAATAAGTAATGAATCCAACTCACAAGTTCATTCGACACCTGAAAGCGCCAGCCATCAGAGAATACTGCCCCCCTTCAATAAGCTTTAGAATGTCCGTGTGCGCTACCATAATGATGCCAGTTTCGTGTTAACTTGATGTATCTTTCAGATTAGAATGTCTGGAAGTCTTTAATAAGTCACCCAATACACCACTAGAAGCTGCTATTAATCCTGCCAAATATTAGAAAGAGAAATCTTAGCAAAAGGGAAGAAAAATTTGTGCAAGACTACTTGTAAGGCCTATTATTTACTTAATTTTCAAATGTGAACATCAAAGAAGTGTAATTATCAACATGTGGGCTCTGAAAATTTGCTCCCCGGCCCTCCTTGCTTTCAGGAGAGTTTCAATGAATTAAGTTTTGAGGTAAATTTTTAGAAGGCAGATTGGATTGTGAATAAGACACAACCCAGAGATTTCACCCTCATTTCACGAGGACTTTATAATATGAGTTCTGGTTTCTTATAGGCGCAAGCCCCTATAGTTAATTAGCCCTCCAAATAATGAGAAAGAACTTTCGATTAAGGCTAGTCTTCGATCAGATATGCAATATGTATCTAGCATATAGTAGCATCATGGATTGGATATTTGAAAATCTAATACTTAAAATTCGAAATCTCACAATCTTGCAATTAAAGCGGATGGTGGGGGAATGATGATAAACCCGATCAAGATCCCATGGTTTCATCGATCTGGGCCATCACAATCCCTGGTCTACTTTGTACGTGAGGAAACATAAACGGCGTCGTATGCACAATACTTTCAGCAGGTTTTGAGCCGAATTTCCTGGATTTCAACCAAGATTTGAGCAGGTATGATTTGATGTAATTTTTATCCCTCTTTTTTTTTGTTTTTGCTCTCTGTGGAGGTCAACACAACATTATCATCCTTCATTTTAAATATCCCTTCATTAAATGTCATCAATTTCTATATTATTACATGGGGTATTTACTTAAGTAAATTCTTTTTAGTAATTTCGAGTAATCTTACATTTATTCGTCACTTTTTCCCTAATTCCTACATATTAACTCTAATTATTCACTTTATTGATACTTCTAATATTTATTGTTCATGTTCAAACCACTAATATATATCTACTTACCTAACATATACGCAACTCATATTGGTCTGTTGGTTGAGAATTCTGACTACTAACTAAGAGGTCTTAGGTTTGAGTCTTACGTATGTGATATGTGAGTTTGTCTTAATTGACCTAAATGTCAAAAAAAAAAAAAACTTCCCCAACATATCTTCAATAGATATAATTGTACCTCTAACGTATTCATTTGGCCTTTTATCCTTTCTATTTTTATCACAAATCCATCTCATACTCAAGTTCTTACATTTTTTTTACCAAAAACATGTTTGGTCATTGGTTTAGGCCCAATTTTCATCACCTTTGGTACACAGTCCCCAACAATAACATCTTCACAATGCACCATAATCCCAAAATCTATCACCACAATGGATAATGAACTCCATTAAGACATCTTCCACCCAATGATCCCAAAATCTGTCATGTGGGAGCAGAGAAGGTCGCCAGCGGAAGCAGAGGTGGAATCGGAGTCGGGCCGTGAGAGATCGGGCTCGACGCCATATGCAGGATCGTGGGTCTGGTCGCAAGAGGGCTGTGCGAGCGCAGGAACGGGCCGCATGAGCACGAGGTGCAGGAGCTATGAGTTGGCTACGGGAGTGGGCTGGTGTCGCACGATTTCCGAAGGCGGGAGCTGGGTTGGGATGCAGAGGCGAGGCGATGTGAGAGGAGGATGCAAGCTCGGGGATTGAGAGTGGGATGGAAGTGGACCTACAGGCCTGGGTGGTGTGCGTGATAGCGGGAGCAGAATTGGGAGTGAGTGTGGGGGTGGCATTGAGCTAGTAGCGTGCACTGTAGGCTGGAGCAGGCCGTGTGAGTGTGAAGTGTGATCGAGCATTTAGGACGATTCTTGCATTTGGGTCTTCAATACATAAAAGTCGAAAGAGCTGATGATCTGGTCCAGTGTGACCGAAGGTGACGAGTCACGCTGATTGGGAGCGGACTGAAGTCACGTGAAATGTCAAAGACTAGATTGGAAGCACGTGGTTGCGGCAGAGCGGCAATGGAGGATAGTTTGGAGCGGCTTGTTTATATCGAGGGCAGAATCGGGATGGGGCGTGCGCTGTTACGGAATGATTACGGATTGAATTGTCGGGCAGGGGATTGCGCCATCATAGTGGAAATGAGAGCAGGAGGGAAGCCGGTCGCGCGGAGAAAGGTGAAGGCATCTATATGGTTGCCAACGCTCTTCTTCTTATTCTCTCTATGGAACGACCAAAATTAGACAATAAATCATCTATTCTATCAATAGAGGCATTCACTTGAGCTGCCCAAAGGTCTTCACAGCGTCGATCATCACGATCGTTGTCGACCACCCTTCTTATTCGGCATGGAAGACTTCGTTGACCGCCGATCTTCTTTGGCTTCCATCATTGTTAACAACCCATCTTCTTAGGCAGTTTGTCATTTTTCAAAAGCTCCAAATTCTGATACCAACTGATGTAGCAGATCAGCGGAAGAATTGAATCTGCTAGAATGAACACTCAAAAATAAGAGAACCAACACAAGATTAAAGCTTCAAAGGGATATAATATTCATCATTAATGCCTCATCCACTACAATAGTAAAATATATAAGCAAGCCATAAAAACTTCTAGAAAACATGTGATAAATTAGATAAGCAATTCCTAAGGTATGCTATAACTAGGATGTTCCACATCAAATGCAAGATATCGTGGATGCGTGCCAACCAAGGAAGAGTGCTGAAGGTTGCCCAGGCCTCGACTTGAACTCAGGATGAAACTGTACTCCAACAAAATAAGGATGTACTGGCAGCTCAAGAATCTGAAAAATGGAAAGCAAGCTACTACCAAATCAGAAAACCTTCTCTTCTGAAGTAAATATTGAAAATTTGGATGACCAAACGAGTACTGAGGGAAATGCATACGAATACCTCCATTCTTTCACCTGTCTCATCTCTGCCGACAAACACAAGACCGGCACCCTCAAGTTCCTTGATCATGTCAGGATTTATCTAAAAAATAAAAGAATTTTTTAAAGAATGCTAAAATTTAAATAAACAAAACGAAATGCAGAAAATAAGTATAGAAAACTATAATATCAACAAAAAGAAGAGGAGCCAGGTGCAAACCTCATATCTATGTCGATGTCTCTCATCAATGTAATCAGCTTTGCCATACCTAAGAGAAACAAATTATTATTTCAAGCAGTAAGAAAAGCTATTGTACTATCACGCATTAGATAATAGACAAAGATATCAAGGTACGTGTTGGTCCTCACAACTGAGCAGATATGCAGTCAGAAACCCTAAAATATGTCCTCCTTGATCCAAGTCTCATCGTACCTCCCATATGAGTTCTGGAACACTGAATGTTTAACGCCAAGTTATTCAAGGAGAAGCTTAAAGTGCAACCAAATATAAACAACAAATATCGATTGAAAGAATATCTGATAGAGGATCTAATGCAACCTCTGGCATACAGATAACACAAGGGTTTTTTGTTTCAGGATCAAATTCTGTGCTGTTTGCATCCCGCAGTTTGAGAACAGAACGGGCAAACTCAATAACTGAAATTTGCATGCCCAGGCAAATTCCTAAGAATGGAACATTATTTTCCCGGGCATATTTTGCAGCAAGGATTTTCCCTTGTACACCCACGTCTCCAAACCCTCCGGGAACCAACACACCACCAGCGCCCTGAGATCGGAAACTCTTAAGTTATTAGAAAATTGTGCAAACAGTAAAGAATAAATATGAAGGCAATTGAGAATTAGAAGGATATTATGAAAAGAGAATGAGAAAGAGCCATATAATGAAAAAAAAAAATCACCTTTAATAGATTCCATGCTGATTTATGAACTTCTGGAGACTACAGAAAAGAGAAACACCGCATATATTATTAGCTTTTCCCCCTGATGGATACGAAGTAAGAAAACTACATAGCTAATAAATTAGAAAACCTCCTTTGCAGCAGCATCTTCAAGATCAGAAGCAGTAACCCAGTCAACTACAAGTTTCCTATTTAAGGAAATAGAAGCATGTAGAAGAGCCTGCCCAATAGAAATACAAGACCAATTACTGTCGATTATGCATAACATATAGTATAACATAACATCAAAATATAAAACCTCCAAAGAAATTCACATTGGTTGCTATTTCATTAGTCCTATTTTGTTTTTTGGTTGATGTATTGATGTTTTATATTATAAGGTTCACAATCCGTAAACGGAAGCACTTGAAAGATTTTTCATTTCTTCTCATAAACAGGATTTCAATGAGGGCATACTTGCTGGTGTTTTGGAAGAATGCTGAATTCAAATCAAGATAGTTGGACATTTATTATCACATAAGAATACCATTTCTCTAATTGGATTCCTCAACTTGCTAGTGCTAAGAACTAACCAAATGCCAACCATTCCCCAGATCCCGACAAAATAATGCATTATAACAGCCAAAGAATTATGAAGATCCATGGGTTTGATTGGCTTTGGTCATGCCAATATGGAACCATTATATTACGGTCATGGTCAGAGCTCATATGCTCCCCAATGACATTAAATCCTTAAGATTTGAATCAATAGGATATGCTCGATAGGGCACAAAGCCCTCTATCAACTAAGGTGGATTCAAATTTGTCCCCTTAGACAAACACCCACCCCAGGTCTACAAGGTACCCTTGGACAAAGCAAACAAGAACTGTTGATAATGATCCTTCCGTCAGGTTGGGTCAACTACCTCCTCCAACTAAGTAAGTCAGGGATCATGATAGCCAAGGACGACCGAACCATAGGATATTGATCAAGCTCATCATCACCTCACCCCCCCATCCACTTTGTGTAAAATGATGAAATTTTTTAAATTTTAAATATCAATTTTTCAAAACCCAAACCCATGCTGCTACTATAAGCCAGATGTCATGTATCCATAGGTACGATGTATTCATTTGACAACTAGCCTTAATCAAAAGTTCTCTCTCATGATCGGGAGGGGTAATTAACTATAGGGGCTTGTGCCTATAGAAAACTATAACTCAGATTATAAAGTCCTCACAAAATGATAATGAAATCTCTGGGTAATATTTTATCTACAATTACAATATGCCTTTTGAAAATTTATCCCGGAACCTAATCTGCTAAAACTCCCTTTGAAAGTAAAAAGCTGAGCACGAGGAGGTCGAGGCGGGAATTTTTGGAGCGCACATCAATGTGGCCCAAATTTTAAATTTATGCAATAAAGAGAATATTTCATCATGAAAAATACCCACTATCAAAGATAAGATTGCAAACTTTGTCCTAACGTTTAAAATTATATTATAAAAATCTTGTTATTTTTCAAATAGACTCGACCAAATGTGGAGTTAAGATACAATGAATGAAAATTATCAATTAAAACATCCTCTGAATCTATACTCTCCTTGTTAAACTCATGAATATCATTAGTATTATTGATTTCATTATCATCCTCCTCCACATTTATATAAAAGTTTCTATTAAGTCACTTTTTAGCGACTGGCTTATTAACACTCAAAACATGAACAAGCATAAATTTTAAATCCAGATATCGATGCAAATGCAACTGATTTCCTCATGGCAACCTTACTAAATTTGTACTTTTATTACTCTCAATGGATTGAACTTGATCATTTTGACAAAAATAAAGCACTTACGAATATGATGAAACTTTTTTAGATACATAGAACTTTTAGCATTTTTCAAAATCCAATGCAAGTTAAAAAACACACTAATGGAACCTGGCACTATGATACTTTAATTTTATGCAATAATAAAATCACATGTAAGATATTTAAAATTTTGCTAAGATGAGACTATAATTTTTTACCTTTAAGAAATAGTTAAATTGATGCAATGATGATATAATGAATATAGATCACACAAAAAAAATTAAAATTAAAAACCACCAATTACATAAGAAACTGCTTCCTTCTTATAAATAAGTAAAACTAGAACCAATGGATAATGCAATGATCAATTAATTCAAAGAAACAAAAAATAAAACTTTAACCGTGAAAAATTAACAAAAAATTGAATTTTTACGCTACTATTGAAAACATAGTTATAGCAAATTTGATCCAAAATTAGTACTCTTATAACACAAATAATAAAATAGTTGGGGAAAAACATCAACATTAGAAATCACAAAAAAAAAAAATCCAGGATTCATACTGGTATGAAGAGAAATTGAAAGCTTTCTATCGCATTTGCACCGCACTCAAAGGAATCAAAAATCCAATATTTCACTCACAAGATTGAAATTAGAAAGCTGTCATTTTATTAATAAAAAATTATTTGTACATATCTCAGATTATCTGTTCATAATCAGCAAATTCCAAAAAAAAAAAAATGTTTAAAACTTGATCGGTAAAAGACATATTACCACCTATAGTCTAATAGAAAATGCTTGTAGAAATAGAAGAAAAACCTTGGCTGAAATTTAATTTCAGCAAAATCCAAACAATAATTGAGAAGAACAATGTGGTAAACTAGAAGAAAAGCTTTTTAATTGATGATATGTGAAAGAAAATGAATAAGATACAATGGATCTTCAATTGGAGAGGAAGATCCAACTCTCCTAAATCCCTAGTTGCCGGCTACAATCCAAACCTCCTAGTAAATTCTTTTTTCAGCAAACACATACATGAAAGAAAATTGAACCCAAGGTAAACACTACTTAAAGCATACCCAAAATAATACAATTCTCAAACAGCCCCTTTCATATTAAGTTTTCCTCCTAATTTCCCCCTCATCTCCCTTTTGAAAATGCCCCTGGGCCCTACCCCAAAGGGGCGATATTTACTGCAGGCAGAACTTCACAATACCCTCCTCCCAAAGACCCGCCTTGTCAACAAGGTGAAATGACGGCTCCTTCCTGAATTTCCTCATCATCACAAAAGGTGAAAACTTGAAGATATTAGTCCTTATATTGGTGCCCCAGTGTATATCTCCCCTCACATCTAAAACAAAGCTCATTTGCCCTCTTCTTCTATAACTCCACTTCTATAAGCTTATTGAAGTTTTCCCCAGGTCACCCACCTGCAGTCTTCTCCTTCGGGGTCTCCCTAAGAGTGCCCGGTGTCAGCTCCTTGGATGCCAAAAAAGGTGGTGGTCATCCTGTACAAACTTCTTAAATTATTTCCTCCAGTCCCTCTCTCTAGGTGCCTCTGATCTTCCACTAACTGGCTAGCTCCATAGCTTCTCCCAAATCACGAGGCCTCATCACTCTAATTGTCGTCCGAATCTCTAGTTTGAGCTCTTTCATAAAGTTCCCCTCCAATACAGTCTCTAGAAGCCGGTCCAATCTACTAGCCAAGTGCTCAAACTGCTCATGGTATTCCATCACTGTCCCCTCCTGCGTCAGAGCTAAGAACTGCTCATAGTCCCCTCCTCTACTAGTTCAGAAATGTTCCAAAAAGCAATCTTAAAACTCCCTCCAGATCCGTATGGGTCACCTCGTATCCCTCCACTGGTACCATGCCAACACTTTTCACTCCAAGCACATCTCGGCTACCGTCAATCTCTCATTCGTCAACCTATTGATGGTAAAGTACATTTCCATCTTATAGATCCATCATATACATCATCTCTCTCAAAAATAGGCATCTTTAGTTTCCTCACCCTCGGATCTCCTACATTCCCCATGTTTCCTCCATAGTTTCTCATTACCCAAGGGGGTGGTTCCGCCCAAGTGTCTCAATCATCCCTTCTACACTCGTACCCAAATCTTTCATCAAATTCTCACTTTCTCCTTTCAAATTCAGCACCCCTTAGATCATAATTAGCCCCTCTCGTTTCAAATCCAACCTCTCATCTTTCAAATTCAACACCCCTTTTGATCATAATCAACATTCTCCTTTCAAATCCAGCACCCCTTCAATCATAATTAGCCCTTCCTATTTCAAATTTCACTCATCTCCTCTCAAATTTAGCTCCCTTTCATTCATGCCTGACCTCCTCACACATCTCCGCATACCCTCTACCCGTCTCCTCCCTAAGAATAAGCTCTAGGGGAACAATCTCTTATCCCTTCAGAATCTCCACCACCTGATCTTCCCTTCACCTTATTAGATTAGGGTTTTCCCCACTTCCTTGGTTGTCGGAGGCTTCCCGCACCTCTGACGACACCGTTTTGGGCTGGCCCTCGAGCAACTTCATCACTCATCCAGGATGAAAAATTTTCCATCTATATTCTCATGGATGGATACAATTTGACTGTTGAGATCTGGATATTGAATTTGGAGATTTGAAATTTCAATTTTCAATTGTTCGACCTCCCCTTCTAACACTTCTACCATTCTTCTTTTCATAGGTATATGGATTTAAGCTCTAATAGCAAAAAACAACAACTTTGATGCGAATCTGGCCTCCAAAAAGCAAAAAAAAAAAAGTAAGATCAGAGAGAAAAGGTAATATAAATCAACAAGGATGACTTCTATTTATGCCTAGGAAATTGCTTTGATACCAATTTGATAGAAAATGTTTATAGAAAGAGAAGAAAAATCATGGCTGAAATTTAATTTCAGCAAAATCCAAACAGCAATTGAAAAGAATGATGCGGAAAGCTAGAAGAAAAGCTTTTTAATTGATGATATATGAAAGAAAGCAAACAAGATAAAATGGATCTTCAATTATAGAGGAAGATCCATCTCTCCCAAATCCCTAGACGCCGGCTAGAGCCCAAACCTCCTATGAAATTTGATAGGAAACACTTGAAGATTTCAAGTAAATCCTATCAAGAGAGAAAAAATAGCGAGAAATCTCCACGATTCCAATGGAAAACCAATGAAAATAATAATTTTATTGCAAGAAAACAAACTACGAAAATAACAAGATATAATTGATCCTCTATTCGAGAGGAGGATCGATCTCTCCCAAATCTCTAGACGCTGCTAGAGCCCAAAGAAAACCTATGAGATCTCAAATTTCTTCCAAATTCAGGATGCCCTAACCCTAGGAAAACAAACTATTTAATGCATACAAATCAAAAAAGAAATCCCTAAACAATCCCTACATTCAAATTGCCCTCCTAACTCCCTAACAAATCCTTTCTAAACAGTGCAGGCACGCCCGGGCGTGCGTTCGGTCCTTACGCCTCTATTCACGTAAGCAGATCCCGTCGAATCGGTCTAATGGGTCAGTCTAACAATACTCCCCTCCCAAAGATCCACCTTGTCTGCAAGGTGGAAAGATGACACCCTTCTTCATTCTTTCTTCATCATAAATGGTAAGAACCTAAAGAGTTATGTCCTTACACCAGTGCTCCGGTGTATACCTCTCATCACATCTGAAACAGAGCCCCTTCTCCCTTTTCTCTTGTAATTTTATTTTGTGAGCTTCTTGAAGTTGTCCCCAGGTCTTACTCCTATAGTCTTCTCATTCGAAGTCTCTCTTAAAGTACCCAGTGTCGGCTCCTTGAGTGCCAGAAATGTGGTGGTCCTCCTATTCGGACCTCCTGAGTTGCTGCCTCCCATCTCTCTCTCCAGTGCCCTGATCCTCCATCAATTGAGCTAGCTCTATAGCCTCTCCCAAGTCATGATGCCTCATTACTCTAACCGCTGCCCTGATCTTTGGTGTCAAATTCCTTCATGAAATTTCCCTCCAACACTGTCTCAGGAAGGTAGTCCAATCGGCTAGCAAGGTACTTGAATCTCCCCCAGTACTCCATCACTGAACCATCCTATGTCAAGGCGAAGAACTGTTAGTAGAAATTTCATCTCATGCCAGTTCGAAAACATTCTATCAAATAATCCTTGAACTCTCTCCAACTTCATATGGGTCGTCGCATGTCCCTCTACTAGTACCAAGACAAAGCCTTCCCATGCAAACATAGGCATGATGCCATCAGTCTCTACCTCCTCTGTCAATCCATTGACGATGAAATATCTTTCTACCTTGTAGATCCAGCCATACACATCCTCCCCCATAAAGATTGGCATCTTCAATTTCCTCACCCTCGAATCGCCTCTGTTCCCTCCATAATCTCCCCTTCCCCAAAGGGGTGGTTCCCCCCAAGTGTCTCAATCATCCCTTCTACGCTCATACCCAATCCTTTCATCAAATTCCCATAGTCTCCTTTCAAATTCAGCCCCCCTTGGACCATAATAAGTCCCTTTCCTTTCAATTTCATCCCCCCTTCGGTCATAATCACCCCTTTCCCTTTCGAATTTTGTCCCTCTCCTCTCAAATTTAGTTCCCCTTTGTTCATGCTCCACCTCCTCATGCTTCTCCCTATACCCTCTACCCAGCTCCTCCATAGGAACAGGATCTAGGGGAGACATTCTCTCTTTCCCTTTTGAGTCTCCACCTCCTGGTCTCCTCTTTGCCTCATTGGATTAGAGTTTTCCCCCGCTTCATGGGTTGCCAGAGGCTTCCCTCGCCTCGGGCGACGTTGTTTTAGATTGGCCTTCGAGCAACTTCTTCAACATCTCCCCTAAGGTGGAAAAATTCTCATCCATCTTCTCGTGGAAGGCTGAAATTTGACTTTTAACATCTGAAAGTTGAGTGTGGAGATCTGATATTTCAGTTTTCAATTGTCCGATCTCCCCTTCCAACACTTCTACCTTTCTTCATGCCATGGGAACTTGGATTTAGGCTCTAATAGCAAGAGCCGCAAATTTAACGTGAATTATGGTCTCCAATCAGCAAAAACAACACGATCGGATATGGAAAACAACAAAATTCAGCGAGGAAAACTTCAAATTTAACCCAGAAAATTGTTTTGATACCAATTTAATAGGAAACACTTGAAGATCTCAAATATTTCCTATCAATCTTGGGAAAATAGCGAGAATTCTCCACAAAAATAGCAAGATACAGGTGATCCTCAATTCGAGAGGAGGATCAATCTCTCTTAAATCTCTTGACGTCACTAGAGCCCAAAAGCCTAAACCTAAGATATCTCAAATTTCAGCCAAATTCAAGATGCCCTAACCCTAGGAAAATAAACTATTTAATGCATACAAATCAAAAGGAACCCTAACCAGTCCCTACATTCAAATTTTCCTCCTAACTCCTTCAAAAATCCTTCCTAAATAGCCCACGCACGCCCGAACGTGCGTACAGGAGGCAGAAATGTCCGCCTCTGTTCGCCTAAGCCGGTCCCGTCGAAACTGATGGACCAGTCTAACAAAATTCTAATTTCAGCAAACTCATACATAAAAGAAAATTGAACCCTAAGTAAACATTACTTAAAGCAAACATAAAATAATACAATTCCCAAATAGCCCCCTTCATATTAATTTTCCCTCCTAATTTTCCCCTCATCTCCCTTTTGAAAATGCCCCCCCGCCCCAAAGGAGCAATATTTACTGCAGGTGGAACTTCAGCCTGTTGAATGTAATTGCCGGTCCCATTCGGACCGGTTGGACCGGTCTAGCATAGTCATGTGATACTAAGCAAAGCTCGGTAGCAAAAGTAATGCTGGACATACCAGAAACCACTTGCTATAGAAAGATTCACTACAGGCTACATGGGGAAGCAACTAAAGTCATAACAAAAGAGGCAATAAATCCACTCTAGGCCTCTATAAGCCCATCGCACAGCACACTACAGGAAACGTCTGAGGAGCTTCTTTTCAAAATATCAGCACACAGCTTCTTTTCAAAATATCAGCACACAGCTACAAGAAATGCTTAGGATACAGGTGCCACACATGAATACAACCCCACATCATAAACTTCCCAAAACCCACTATATTAGTCCTACCACTTGTGGTTACATTTAACATAAAATGCCTAACCAATTAAAACAAAGAAATATCAGATCTACTATTTAATGAAGATAAGAGTGTATAATGTCTGCTTCTACCTTATGAACGGAGAGGTAAGAATCAGCAAGACCAGTATATTTTCCAACCATTGCTATTCTCACCTATCAATTTTCAGCAATCATAGGTTAACAATCGAGAGAAGACATGAAACTGCAATCGCTCTGAACTACATTATTTAACCTACTTGAATGTGCAGCTCGTCACAAATTTTAGCCCTGGATACCCATTCTTCCAACACTGGCTCCCCAGCAACACTAAATACAACAAATATAAGTTTAGACATTAATTAGGATTAGCAATAATAACATCATAATAGTAAAAACGTGATCACACAAACCCTTGAAGCTGCAGAGCTTTTAATATGGCTTCATGAGCCTTTTGGTCCTAAGGAAAACAGAGATGGAAAAATTAAGGATGCTTTATACACTGATCTAAATTATGCGGTGTTACAAACAAGTTAGCAGGTGTAATAACTCACCTTCAATAGTAAAGGAATATGCCAGATGTTTGTCACATCATGGATAGTAACAATATTTTCAGCCTAAAAAACGAGTTCATTATGGCATTAGAAATGTCATTCGAACGAAGAAAGGAAAATAGAATATTTGTTTTATAGATGACATACATGAACGTGACAAAATTGTGACAACTTTTCCTTGGTCATTTCATCCAGGGGCTGGCAAGAAAGTTGTTTAAAGTGGAGAGATAAGAGATTAAGGCTTCGTTTGGGACGATTTTTTTATTGCTTCTTAAAACAACTTTTTAGTAAAAAATTAAAATTTATGTACCAGAAAGCTGCTTTAAGAAGCAGTAAGAAAGTCATCCCAAACGAAGCCTAAAACACAAGACTAAGAGACCATAAGAGCAGAGAATGCTACCTTAGTACTTCGACAGGCCAATAAATTTGGCGTCAATCCAAGCCCTCTAAGAATTTTAACACTGTGTTGGGTTGGCTTAGTTTTCTATAATATTAAAGTTAACAAAAAAAGTTAAATAAATGCCAACAAATTGATTAGAATGTTGGCCTCTATTAGCTTTCTTTTCACAAGCTTGGTAATGAAAAATCTCACAAGCTTAAGCATTTACAAATAAGAAGTATTCACAACTTCAAAGCTGTTTACCTGTTCACCAACTACATTCAGAACCGGCACAAGACTAACATGAACAAGGCAGAAATTGCCAGGACCTGGAAACTGAACGGTTAGAGAATTCAATGCATAATTTACCATCAACTGAGGTTCATTTAAAACTGAGCATCGAATGCGGTTGGGCAAGAATCCACACACCTACACGATAAGAGAATTGACCAAGCGCTTCGCAGAATGGCATTGATTCAAAATCCCCTGAATTAGCAATCAATTCACCTTTTAAAAATTAAAGAAACACTCTATCAATATACACACGGAAGTATAATTAACTCTGCAAGCCTAAAGATGCAGAAATATCTCATCTGGTGGATTTAAGTTGGTTGAATAAAGTAATATACTAAAGTGGATACCAACCTATTGTCCCACCAAGTTCAATAACACAAACATCGGCTGGTCCTTCTTTTCCATCCACAGGTATCATAGCTGCTTGTTCAATCCAATCTTGTATCGCATCTACTACTTGTGGCACAGTCTTTAAAAAAAGTTTAGTATTATGTTGTAAGGACAATCATGTAGGGTTCAGGTGGGTCATAAAATGCAAAAGCATGATATCAACATTTAGTATGCACCTGAACTGTTTTTCCTAGGTAATCACCTCTCCTCTCTTTGTCAATAACAGACTAATAGCAGACACAAAAGCAAAAAATGAATGGGAAGTTCTTTAGTTTTAAGAAAAACATGAAATAATATAGCTTTAAGAAAGTTGAGATCATGATTCGAAAATATCAAACGTTTACCTGGATGATCTTTCCAGTTGTTATGTTGTTGTCACGTGTCAGTTTTATATTTAAGAAGCGTTCGTAGTTTCCAAGGTCTAGGTTTACCTATAATGGGACAAAAATGTAACACAAAGATTTCAATTTCACCACAAAAAAAGGCATATGGAGGTATAACCAAAGGTTTATCTTCTATCTCTTATCTATAGAAATTGTAGCAATTCTACTTAGTCGAAGTTTTGCAAATTAACAATATCAAGGCAGAGAGGACAAAAGCACACAGGCACATAACTCTTTGAGGAACATGTTTTAAGATGCTGCTTTCATGTTGGATGCTAAAAGCACATGATAGTATGTATATATATTATTTTTCATAATATATATTATTGTATAAATACCATATTTGATATAGATGGACAAAGCATGTTTGGTTTGAGTTTTGTAAGTACTTATTTTTATTTTTTTTTATTTTTAAAAACAAGTCAAGTTGCTTTTAAAAACACCCAAATAATTTATAAATGTTCTCATTATTTTTAAACATGAACTCCCAACACCCAACGTCGTGTCCAAGCCATTAGCCAAACCTGTGCCTAAGTCGATGGTCTCTTGAAAGAAAACAGACCAACCTAATGGAAAATAAAGCAAAATTTCACCGAAATTCTGCTCTAAACAGCAGTTTTTGCCAAAACAGTAGGAAAATCAGGGAGAAACACTTGAAATTCAATAGTAGAATGAAAAGAAACAACCCGATATAATGAATCTTCAATTCGAGAGGAAGATTCAACTATCCAAATCTCTAGCCAAAGACTAGAGCCCAAAACCAACACCAAGATCCCAAATTCATATTCAAATTCAAGATGAAAACTTAACCCTTACTAGAAGAAGATTATTTAAAGTAAATGAAAAATTCATTAATCCCTAAACAGCCCCTAATTTGAATTTCCCCTCCTAATCCAAGCCTTCATTATTGTGTGGGTCCCACTCATGCTGCCTCCCAAGCTAGGCTCCCCCCCCCCTCTCTGTTTCCGCCTGAACTGATCCAGGGAGGACCAGTTCAGCCGGCCCAAGGGCTGGTCTAACATTACCTCCCTCTTAAAGACTCACCTTGTCCTCTATGATGCACAGACACGGACACGGCGACACGAATACAACACGACACGGACACAGGACACGTTAGTTATTGAAAATATAGGACACGGACACGGGTTGGACACGGTATTATAGTTTTTATATTTAAAAAATAGTGTATAAAACTTAAATAAGTAAAATTTTAAAAATAATTTGAAAATAATAAGTAATTTAACTAGAACTTATGCTTATAATGATTAGTATTAGGATGTCGAGAGTCAGGCGTCGATGTCGTTTATCAGTCACCGAGAGAAGAGATGAAAATACCTTCACTGCAAAAAAGAAATGAAAATGAGAATATTCGATGACTGGGTATTAAGTGCGGACGTTGATTTTGTGTTGTGGATAAAAAATAAGAAATTTAGTTTAGATTCTGTCAATTACAAGAAATTATATTTAAAAAAATTCATTTCAAGCGGTACGCCACGGCTCAAATCTTTTCCACTATCTCGTAGAAGCCGAAGTATCATGGGGCTAATTTCTCATTCCTTCTATTGGCCACAGTCCTCCATCTGTAGGTTCACAGCTTTAAGAACACCATCTCCCCAAATACAAACTGGATGTCTCTCCTATGTGCATCTGCCTGCTTTTTCATGATCTATTGTGCCCTCAACAAGTGTTTCTTCAAGTCCTCCAACACCTTATCCCTTTCTTCCAAATATTATTCTATTGAAGAGACTGGTGTACTCCCTTACCCAAAGTGCACCAAGTGCACCGTCTCTTCTATTCAGTACTTTGAAATGGGTCATCTGAGAAACTTAGTGATACGAGGTATCGTACCAATATTCAGCCCATGCTAACAACTTGGCCCACTTCTGTGGTGTTTCAGAAGCAAAATACCTCAAATAAGTCTTCAAGCTTCTGTTGACCACCTCTATTTGCCCGTCCGTCTAAGAGTGGTAGGTTGTGCTTCTCTTAAGAACTGTATCTTGCAACCTGAACAGCTCCCTCCAAAATTGACTTAGAAACACCTTATGTTGATCAGAAACTATCAACTCTAGAATCCCGTGCAATCTAACCACCTCACTGATGAATGTTGCAGCTATTGTCACTGCATTGTAGGGATGTTGTAAGGGAATGAAATACGCATATTTACTTAGTCTATCAGCCACCACCAAAATAACGGTGAATCCCCCAGATCGTGGTAGGTCATCTATGAAGTCCATTGACACCTCCTCCCATACCCTGTTTGGAAGTGCCAAGGGTTGTAGTAACCCCCCTGGAGCCATAGCCATGTATTTGTTTCTCTAGCACACCTCGGCGCCATCTCCTCCACATACTTATGCATACCTTTCAAATATAATTCAGCTGCCAATCTTCTATATGTATTTTGTACTCCAGAATGGCCTCCAACCCAGTCCAATGGAACTCCTACAGTAGGTGGGGGATATGGATGGAGGTTCGTGGCATCACAAATCTTCCTTGGTACAACATCCTCTCTCCCTGAAGGAAATAGCCTTGATGGTTGCTCCGATCCTTTAACATATCCATCTGAATCTTCTTCAACTCCTCATCATGAACACTTTCTTCCTTGATAGCCCCCCAATCCACCATCAAGGGTACTGAAATAATCATCTCCTAAAGCTCTCCCCCACACCTAGATAAGGCATCCACCACAGTATTCTCCAAACCTGGTCGGTACTGGATCTCAAATCATATCCCAAGAGTTTAGACATCCATCTCTGATGTTCTTCAATTATCATTCTCTTCTCCAACAGATTTTTCAAGCTCCTTTGATCTATCCTGACGATGAAGTGTCGACCCAGCAGGTATGGACACTACTTCTGAATGACTAACACGGTGGCCATCAATTTCAGTTCATATAAAGACTTCAGTCAAGCCCTAGTTGTCAATATATGGCTGAAGTAGGCTATGAGCCTATAATTCTACATCAACACTGCTCCCAACCCATATATGTATGCATCTGTCTTCGCCACAAAAATCTGAATGAAATCTGATAAAGCCAAAACGGGTATTTTAGTCATTTCCTTCTTAAGTTTCTCAAAAGCTTGGGTAGCCACTTCCCCCCCATAAGAAGTTGTTCTTCTTTAACTGCTTTGTCAAAGGCCAAGCTATGTTGATGTGCCCCTTCACAAGCCTTCGGTAGTAACCTGTCAATCCTAGGAAACCCCTTAGCTCCCTCAAGTTCATAGGTAGAGGCAAGTTTTGAATTACTTCGATTTTTGCTTGATCGGCTACCACCCCCTCCTGAGATATCACATGCCCTAAGTACTCCACACTAGTTTGTGTGAAATTCCACTTCTTCAGGTTGGCCCTGAGCTAATGCTCCTATAGAACTCCAAAGACCACCCTTAAATGCTCCAGATGCTCCTTTTCGGTCATGCTATACGCAACTATGTCAAGGACTGGAAAGTAGTAGGGGAGTTTGTAAGCCCAAGTGGCATCACTAAGAACTTGTAGTGCCCCTCGTGCATCCTGAAAGCTATCTTCTGAATACCCTCCTCTTCATCCTAATTTGATGGTGGCCCTGGCCAGACTTCAAGTCCATCTTGGAAAACACCACTGCTCCATACAGCTTATCCAGTAGTTCATCGATCACCGAGATGGGGAACTTATAAGGCATAGTCTCCTTATTCAACGCCCGGTAATCCACACAAAATGTCCGGCTCCCATCCTTCTTCTTGACCAGTAAGACTGAACAAGAGAAATGACTCACACTTGGCCTTATGATCCCCGCCTCCAACATCTCCTTAATCAGCTTCTCAATCTCATCCTTCTGAATTTGGGGGCAGCGATACAGTCGTGCATCAATCGGTGACAGCCTCTCCTTCAAAATGATGACATGCTCCTATTCTCTGGGTGGTGGTAAGCTTTGAGGAGGCTGAAAGATCTCACTGAATTATTGTATGAGGGGTTTTAATGCAAGAGGGATATCTCCCTCTTCCCCCACACTGACCCCCTTCAAGCATTGCAGTTCCATCAAATATCCTCCTCCCACCTCCTGTATGGTCCTGATCATGGATTTGAGAGATACTCCGGCCCTAGACAGCCCTGCATCACCCTGTATTAACATCCTCCTTCCTCCCACCACTAGTTTCATCCTCAATGCTCCTCAATTGACATTAGTATCCCCCAAGGTCTGCGGCCACTTCATTCCCAGGATGATATCAATACTCCCCAATTCCAAGGGAAGAAAATCCTTCCTCATCTGAATCCTATGAATTGTCAGCACTATGGTCCTATAAACTCATCTACCCATCTACACCTTTCCCGTGCCCATCATTACCCCATATCCACTTATATCCACTAATTTCACCCTCAATAGGTCGACAATATGATTGGAAATAAAAATTGTGAGTTTCCCCACTGTCTATCAGCACCTCCACCTCTCTGTTAGCTATTTCTCCCTTCACTTTCATGGTGTGATTCGGGGTGAATCTCACCATAGAGTTTAAAGAGACTTTTGCAACATCCAGATGCATCTTCTCTTCTTCCTCCACCACTAGCTACTCTCACTTCCCTCTTCAGTTTCCTCGTCATCACAGATGGTGAGAACCTGAAGAGTTCGGTCCTTACACCTATGCACTGGCATGTACTTCTCATCACATATAAACAACAATCCCTTAGCCCTCTTCTCATGTATCTCCTTCTCAGTAAGCTTCTTGAAATTACCCCCTCCTCCAGCTTTCTCCCTTGGTACTTCTCTCAAACTCTCTGGTGCAGGCCCCTAGGGAGCTAAGAAGGTGGTGGTTATCATATATGACCCCATCAAGTTGCTCCCCCTTAGTCTCCCTCTCCAAATACTTCTGGTCCTCCACTAACTATGCTAGCTCCGTGGCTTAGAGTTTGGACAGCCATCTCTGATGTTCTTCAATTATCATTCTCTTCTCCAACAGATTTTTCAAGCTCCTTTGATCTATCCTGACGATGAAGTGTCGGCCCAGCAGGTATGGACACTACTTCTGAATGGCTAACACGATGGCCATCAATTTCAGTTCATATAAAGACTTCAGTCAGGCCCTAGTTGTCAATATCTGGCTGAAGTAGGCTATGGGCTTATAATTCTACATCAACACTGCTCCCAACCCATATATGTATGCATCTGTCTTCGCCACAAAAATCTGAATGAAATCTGATAAAGCCAAAATTGGTACTGTAGTCATTTCCTTCTTAAGTTTCTCAAAAGCTTGGGTAGCCACTTCCCCCTCATAAGAAGTTGTTCTTCTTTAACTGCTTTGTCAAAGGCCAAGCTATGTTGATGTGCCCCTTCACAAGCCTTTGGTAGTAACCCGTCAATTCTAGGAAACCCCTTAGCTCCCTCAAGTTCATAGGTAGAGGCCACTTTTGAATTACTTCGATTTTTGCTTTATCGGCTACCACCCCCTCCTGAGATACCACATGCCCCAAGTACTCCACACTAGTTTGTGCGAAATTCCACTTCTTTAGGTTGGCCCTGAGCTAATGCTCCTGTAGAACTCCAAAGACCACCCTTAAATGCTCCAGATGCTCCTTTTCGGTCATGCTATACACAACTATGTCATCAAAAAAATTAAGACAAACCTCCATAGGTATGGCCTGAACACCCTATTTATCAAGGACTGCAAAGTAGTAGGGGAGTTCGTAAGCCCAAGTGGCATCACTAAGAACTCGTAGTGCCCCTCGTGTATTCTGAAAGCTATCTTCTGAATACCCTCCTCCATCCTAATTTGATGGTGGCCAGACTTCAAGTCCATCTTGGAAAACATCACTGCTCCATACAGCTCATCCAGTAGTTCATCGATCACCGAGATGGGGAACTTATAAGGCATAGTCTCCTTATTCAATGCCCGGTAATCCACACAAAATGTCCGGCTCCCATCCTTCTTCTTGACCACTAAGACTGAACAAGAGAAATGACTCACACTTGGCCTTATGATCCCCGCCTCCAACATCTCCTTGATCAGCTTCTCAAGCTCATCCTTCTAAATTTGGGGGCAGCGATACGGTCGTACATTAATCGGTGACACCCTCTCCTTCAAAATGATGACATGCTCCTATTCTCTGGGTGGTGGTAAGCTTTGAGGAGGCTGAAAGATCTCACTGAATTATTGTATGATGGGTTTTAATGCAAGAGGGATATCTCCCTCTTCCCCCATACTGACCCCCTTCAAGCATTGCAGTTCCATCAAATATCCTCCTCCCACCTCCTGTATGGTCTTGATCATGGATTTGAGAGATACTCCGGCCCCAGACAGCCCTGCATCACGCTGTATTAACATCCTCCTTCCTCCCACCACTCGTTTCATCCTCAATGCTCCTCAATTGACATTAGTATCCCCCAAGGTCTGCTGCCACTTCATCCCCAGGATGATATCAGTACTCCCCAATTCCAAGGGAAGAAAATCCTTCCTCACCTGAATCCCATGAATTGTCAGCACTATGTCCCTACAAACTCATCTACCCATCTCCACCTTTCCCGTGCCCATCATCACCCCATATCCACTTGTATCCACTAATTTCACCCTCAATAGGTCGACAATATGATTGGAAATAAAAATTGTGAGTTTCCCCACTGTCTATCAGCACCGCCACCTCTCTGTTAGCTATTTCTCCTTTCACTTTCATGGTGTGATTCGGGGAATCTCACCACAGAGTTTAAAGAGACTTTTGCAACATCCAGATGCATCTTCTCTTCTTCCTCCACCACTAGCTACTCTCACTTCCCTCTTCAGTTTCCTCGTCATCACAGATGGTGAGAACCTGAAGAGTTCGGTCCTTACACCTATGCACTGGCATGTACTTCTCATCACATATAAACAACAATCCCTTAGCCCTCTTCTCATGTATCTCCTTCTCAGTAAGCTTCTTGAAATTACCCCCTCCTCCAGCTTTCTCCCTTGGTACTTCTCTGAAACTCTCTGGTGCAGGCCCTTAGGGAGATAAGAAGGTGGTGGTTATCATATATGACCCCATCAAGTTGCTCCCCCTTAGTCTCCCTCTCCAAATACTTCTGGTCCTCCACTAACTATGCTAGCTCCGTGGCTTCCCCCAAGTCTCGTGGCCTCATTACCCTAATTGTTGCTCGAATATCCGGTTTAAGCCCCTTCATCAAATTTCCTTCCATAATTATCTCTAAGAATCGATCCAGCATACTATCAAGGTACTTGAACCTGTTACAGTACTGTGGGCTCCGAAAATTCGGCCCCGGCCTCCGCTCGCTCTTCTTATTCGGCGAGGGAGTTTTAACGGACTAAGTTCCGGGGTAAATTTACTAGTTCGAAAATGTTCCAGTAAACAGTCTTTGAACTCCCTTTAGTTCTGAATGCATAGCCTCATATCCCGCCATTAGTACCATGTCAGTTCCTTCCTTTCTAAGCACAGTCATTCAGTTGTCAATTTCTCCTCCTCTGTCAACCCGTTGATTGCAAAATAACGCTCCATCTTATAGATCTAGCCATGCGTCCTCACCCTCAAATATGGGCATCTTCAGCTTCCTCACCTTTGGGTCACCCTCGTTTCCCCTGAATCCTTCATAACCTCCCATTTCTTGAGGTGCTCTCCAATTGTCATGATCTTCCCTCCGACAATCATACCAACCCCTTCATCAAAATTCTCTCTTCTCCTTTCAAAATCAGCACCACAGCGATCGAAATCATGCCCTCTCTTCACAAATTCAGCACCTCTTCTTTCGTAGCCAATGCTCATCTCATCCCTAGAAAGTGGTTCTAGAGGAGACATTTCGTCTTCATCTTCCAAGATCTCCACTTCTGGATTTTCCCTTCCCCTAAACGTGTTAGGGTTCCCACCTCTTCCATGGCTGCCGATAATTTCCTTTGCTTCCGATGTCGCCGGATTGGGTTAAACTTCTAGCAATTTCTTCAATATATCTTCCACCACAACGAACTTTTCCTCCATCCTTTCATTGAAGGATGTGATATGATTTTAAAATCAGAAATTTTTTCCTCAAAATCTAATTTGAGTTGCCCAAGTTCTTCCTCCAAGACTTCAACCTCCTTCTGACCATTGATATCCCTTAGATCGACGTGCTCTGATACCAAATTGATATAAAACAGCCCAAACTAATGGAAAATAAAGCATAATTTCACTGAAATTCTATTGTAAACAACAATTTTTGCCAAAACAGTAGGAAAATCAAGGAGAAAACACTTGAAATTCAATAGTAGAAGAAAAGGACACAACCCGATACAATGAATCTTCAATTCGAGAGGAAGATTCAACTCTCCAAATCTCTAGCCAAAGACTAGAGCCCAAAACCAACACCAAGATCCCAAATTCAGATTCAAATTCAAGATGAAAACCTAACCCTAGCAAGAAAAAGATTATTTAAAGTAAATGGACAATTCATTAATCCCCAAACAGCCCCTAATTTGAATTTTCCCTCCTAATCCAAGCCTTCATTATTGTATGGGTCCCACTCATGTTGATGCCCAAGCCAGGCTTCCGACTCCCCCCCCCCCCCTTCCCCCCCCCCCCATTTCCGCCTTCTGTAGACCTGAACCGGTTCAGCCGGCCCAAGGGCCAATCTAACATGTCTCCATCTGCTCCACCAACACCTCTAGCTGCGACACCACCGCCCTCTCTCAAACCATAAAATAAATCGACTAATGTGTTATTCAATAAAAATAAAAATAAACTAACATATGTTTAACATATCAAACAAATTTTTATTTCATCTCAAACATAAATAAAATAAAATAACTAAAACAAAAAGAATAAAATGCGATCCCAAACAGCCCTAATGGTTTGTCCCTCACTCGTGAGCATAAGCTTTCTTGTAATTGATTTGACCAATGGTGTGTTAGGCCCAGCTTTTTCCCCTCTTTGGTTCACCCTTTCTTAGCTATGATCTAATTGTTCATGCATATGAGTCTTATGCAGGCACCACGTGGTTAAGCGGGCTCTTGGTGTACATTTGATGGTGTTTAAGAAATTTATTTTAGGGGTTTTGATGGATGATATTGGAGCTATCTCGAGAGGGAAAAATTGGAAGATTCTTAAAAGCATGCACGAGTTTTAGGTGAGGCTCAAATAAGATAGTTAAAAATATATTGATGTAATCATAATGTCCTCACCCCTTTGATTCACATTTCCAAAGTGTGGATGGAGAAGCTTAGATTTGGTTGTGAAATTAAAAAATTATAAACCAGTTAATTAAAGAATGAAAAATTAAGATTGAACTGCCCAAAAGCAAAGTTGTGAGAAAAAATATCATAATTCATGAAGAAAATTGAAAACCGTCTTTAGTAACACACAAAAACTCCTCTATCATATATTTTGATCACAAGGGCAGTAGCAAGAGGATTGATGAGATGGAAAAACAAAACGTACAAATACACACAGCATCATATTATATCATGTTACCTCACCACCATCTTCCAAAACGTAGACTTCACCATGCTCAAATGGAGACATCGTTCCAGCGTCAACATTCAGGTATGGATCTGTCATATAGGCCATATAGTGTTAGCACATTGCATAAGATATCTCCCGTCCCCCACTTCCAAAGAACAACATGACATAAATAAATAGGAAAGCCAGCAAAATAACAAAAAGTTAAAGTCTTTATGCAATATTATTCACAAAACCTCTTGGAATATTAACAAATTCGATTTTATTTATAACACCATAGTAGTGTTTCCTTGGGCCAAGGTGACGATATTGTCTATTGGAATGGCAAGAAGTGCCCAACTAAGTAATTTTAAAGTTCCATTTGTACTTAGCTTCTCGATATTTGTTGGTTTTAAATAGATTTGGTGTAAGAATCATGCTCGCATTTCACTATATTTGGGTGGCTCTTAATAAAGGGTTGTAAAATTGTTGATGCTCTAATTAGGCGTAACAATCAAGGTTGTGAAAATCTAACCGGACATAAAACCAGAAGGAGAGTTTCAAGATCTAGTGGTTCAGTCAGAATTGAATCAAATGATGCAATAAATATAAAAATTATTTAAATATATAACATAATAATGATATAATAAGTATGCAATAATAAAAATTTATGAATAAAAAATAAATAAATTCATACACAAATAATATTTTATATAATTTTAATTTTAAACATATTCAATTAATCATAATATAAAAAATAATTAAAATATATATGTTAAAATATGTGCAGTGTTATGTGTATAATCTGAATGTATTGATCAATCAGGTTGTTCTATACTTTTGTTATCTCGGACCTCAAAGCTTGTCGTGTACACTGGGTGGGTTTACCCCCTGCTTGGGTTCAGGTGCAATTTTTTTCCATACAAAGCCCCAACGTTGCATACCCGAACGCCCCGACGCTGTGCTCCCGAGCCCCCATAGCTAAAAGACAGAGAAAATAGCACCGCAACGGTAGAGATATGGCGCCGCAGGCAGTGGGTCAAGATAGAGACTGAGCGTCACAGCATTGAGTGTTTGAACGATGCAGCATTGTCGAACAGAGAGTGGCGCCGCAGTGCCCCAAACTGGCGTCGCAGCGCTGCAAGACAAATTGGATGATTTTCTTTCTCGTTTTCTGAAGGGTTGCATCCCTTGAAGTTTGTTTACTTGCTTTCTCTTATATTTTCAGTTATGGAAAGTGTGAGAACAGTACATGTGAGAAGTGAAGCAATGAGGGAGTGAGAGAGAAAAGAGATTATAATGCTCTTTACGGATTTATTTTTTTATTGTTAGAAGTCTGCTGGTATTTTATTTAGAGTTATTTACATAACTATCATAAAATTCTTATGTATTTAAATATGTTAGATATTAGTCTAATTTTAGGTATATTGTATCTTAGGTGCATTTTATCTTGTTTTAGCCTATAGATAAGGGTAGCTTTGTAATGTGTAAAAAAACACAAAAGGAAATAAAATTTTAGCTCTCTTTTCTCTCCAAAAGGCTGTGAGCATTCTATCTCTCCCCCTTTCTCTCTCTGGGTGGAGCAAGAAAGCAAGATCCTTCAAGAAATCCCAACAAATTGGTATCAGAGTCTGGTGAAGGTGATCACAAGGGGTAAGAAGGTTCTTGTCCGAGAAAGAGAAGAAGGGGGGAGGAGGTCCCCACTGATACACGTAAGAAGATTGTGATTAATTGCGTGGACAGGCACGAGCTAACACTTGCAAGAACACTGACCGAAAGGCTAGAGGTTTGGCTCACGCATAGCGGCGGAATCGAGTTGGAGGCCTGAGTAGCGTGGGGTCGAGTCGCGCGTGTAGGGGGTGAAGGCATGGAAGGATCCGCGTGGGAAGACGCATGTGGGTGGATGCATGCAGGCGAGGCGAAGCGGTGCACACGGGGCGCGGGGCATGGGATTGAGCATAGGGCGCAAGGCAGAGTGCAGGGGGCAGGCACAGGGTGCGCATAGGGCGTAGGGCTCATGGTGGCACTATCGCTGGACTAGGCATGGGGCACAGGCGACATCCACATGCCAAATACGGGAGCGAGGCCTGGGGACATGGGCCAAAGGCTGCACAGGCGCATGTAGTTAGGGCATTTCTTGGACTCTGTGATTTCAAGAAGCGGATACAAAAGCAAGTGGAGCAAAGGAGGAGCTGGGCTAGTGATCAAGCAGCAGAAGATTCAAGAAAATGGAGAAGCAGTTATTGAGGAAGTCAGTAACTGTCATGTGGAGGCAATTAGCGTGGAAGTCTGGCGGGTAATTCTTTGTGGATAGCATATATCTTTTCATCTTCTTAAGAAAATCGGACCAAGATGGAAAATGTTAGATATTGGTACAATTTTAGATAGATTGTATCTTAGGTGCATCTTATCTTTTTTTTTTTCCTTCCTATAAATAAGAGTGGCTTTGTAGTATGAAAAAATGCCTAAAAGTAAATAAAATTTTAGCTCTCTTTTATGTCCAAAAGGTTGTGAGCATTCTGTCTCTCTCCCTTTCTCTCTCTAGGTGAGCAAGAAAGCAAGATTCTTCGAGAAATTCCAACAAAATATCTAACACCTAAATCTTTATATTTACTTGTATAATACTCAAGTGTCTAAATCTCATCAAAATATATACATGAACAAGTGTATTTCACTTCAAATGTATTAATTTTATCGGTACTTTTATGTGAATTAAATATAATGGTGTTATATAAATTCATAAAAATGTTGAGTTATGTATGTAAATCCCCCTTTTATTTATGACTTATTTTGGAAATTTTTACTTCAACAATCTTCCATTATTATATATGGTTTATCTCATTGGTTGGTTATGGCTTTAAATGTCTTTTGCAAGGAATATCACTACTTAGTTGGGGGTTCCCTTTGGCTTTCCCCTCTTCATCTTGCACCAGATTTTCTGTTATGGCTCAATGGTTAGGTTTGTTGGAATTTTATTTTCTCTACTAGGCTGTTTCATCTAATGAGATTGACATGGAGGTTTTTTGGTTGTTATGTATTGTGTAGCCTTTTATAAAGCATGCATCTCATCTTTTGATGAGTTGAGCTATTTAGATGCGTTTGATTGAGGACTATGATGATTTTTTTGGAAGTGTGTGGCTCAACATCTTGGATGGTATCCTCCTTTTTTTCCTTCCCAGGGAAACAAGACACTTATGATAGCACAACCATGTTGATTTCCAAGCTTCATCAATTTTGGGCCTATCTCTAGCCACCAAGTCCTGATGGCTTCTCGATCAAATGCAATGGACCTTTCTAAGTTCTCTTATCCTATTTATACTTTCATTTTCTTTTTACATTTTAATTTTGTAAAAATATCTCATTATCTTTTCCAGGAGCGCTCTAGACTTTTGGCAAAGGTGTTATTTTGTTGCAATTGTTAGAAGTGTAAAGTAAAAGAAGTATAAGTGTTTTATTTTTTTTTCTTACATCCACTTTGAAGGAAATTAATCAAATACAAAGCATTTATAGGCTAAAATGTCATTTTTGATAAATCTAGAGTTCACCCAAATTGAGCAAATCCTAAAAACATGGAAAACACATAACCCATGACCTCATCTTCCATACCCATGGCCACCACCTACTCACCCCAGGCCACCTCCCATAGTCATCCGCATCCTTGTTCACCAGTGTCTAGGGGTGTCAATATTTGACACAACCCGAAAACCCGACTCGAATCCGACCAAAAAATTCTGAGTTAGGGTTAACCAGGACCCGAAACGGGCCGGGTTCGGGTTCAACAATTCGACCCGTTTCAAAAATTAGGTTGGGTTCTGGTTTGACCCTTTGACCTAAAATTGACCCATGTTTTTATCTGAAAACCCATTTTGACCAGGGAACCCATTTTCGACCCATTTTTTACTCAAAAACTAGCAATTTTTTCATGGTCCTAGGTCATTCGGGTCGTGTCAGGTTGACCCGGACCCAAAGAGGGTCGGGTTCGGGTTGACCTAAATAGTGTTGGGTCCGTTTCGGGTTCAACCCGAACCTGAACCGTGACCCGAAATTGACACCCCTACCAGTGTCCACCATTTTTCAATGTATTTCAAATGTATCATAACAAATACAGAGAAGCATGTCAATGCATTTAATTTACATCAAACCAAATAACTCATAAATTTTTAAATTGCATGTATTAAAAAATTAGTTTCCATTCCTAAATGCATGTATTTCAATTATTTGGCATTTCTAAAATCCATGCATTTTAAAAATATCCACCAATCAAGCCTAAGTTGGGTTGTGCGCCTTGAAATTACCCTTATACACTTATTTTATTTAAATTATTTTTAGCTTAAGTTCTTAATTTCCAAATAAACAAATAAATATTTATTGACTATAGGAAAATATTCACAAATTCAAACAAATCAATCATAACTAAAAAATAAAAATAAAGAAGATTTACATATGAATAACAAAATTCTTATCTATTTATATATCTAACGCCTAAATTTTATATTAACTAACACACCACTTTTGCATCTAAATCATATGAAAGCATATACATGAAAATATATATATTATTTTAAATAAGTTACATTATAGGACAAAATCCGGCGGTAAACCGTAAAATACGACGGAAACCCTTGGTTTCCGGCGCCTTAATTTCCATCGAAATTCCGTACGCCGGTTTGGTGCGCGTCGAAAAATGTCTTCCGACATATATTAGACGCCGGAAATCTTTCCGGCGCACGTTCTGACGCATTACCGGCGCAAAATGTGTTAGAAAAACTGCGTCTTTTTCCAGATTATTCCGGCGTTATATACGCCGGAATTTACGACGCATCTATCCGTCGGAAACGTCGACGGATAAAATGTCATAAGGTGCGCCGTAACTAAAGGTACGACTTCTTTCCGGCGCCTTTCTACGACGGCGATCTAGGGTGGGCGTAACTAGGGCGACGAGCGAGAGACCGGAGATGCGAGAGAAATGACGGAATGAAATGAGCAGCCAGACTGGTCGTGTTCGTAAATCAGGCTTTCGCCGGCGGATTTTCCGGCGTCCTGGACTCCGGAAAGTTTTCCTGCGCCTTTTTCGTCGGTTCCAAATCGTTGAGTTTAAAATAGCCGACGTATTATCCGCCAGTAACTGCGCCAGACCTAATTTGCCGTAAAGTTCGCCGGTAAGAATGAAATGTCGCTAATTTCCGACGTTATCACCGGCGCATGGGACGTCGGGAAGTTTTCGTCGCAGGATGCGTCGGAAAGAACGCTGTTATTATTCATTCGCATGATGCGCCGGTACAAACGTCGTATTTACCGACGCAAAAAATTACGCCAAAACATCCGACGGTATTCGCGTGTTTTCCTGTAGTGTTAATATAGTAATATTTGTATACAATTTTTATATTTAAGTGTGATATAATTAAATATAAAGATTTTAATGTTAGATATAGAAATACAAAAGAATTTTGTGGTATGCATTTAACTCAGGGATACAAATGACTGACAAAACAAAATTACGTTTTCTAATATATATGTAGTCAATAGGCATGGGCGGATCCACCCTAGTCTTAGGGTGGGCAAATGCCCACCCTCAAATTTTTTTTTTTTAATATTTATAGGAGATTTTTTGGAATATTTTGAGTATTTTAGGCATTTTGCCCCTTCTCAAAAATATTTTTTGCCCTAATTTTATCAATCATAGGCATTTTTGTCCATCCCCACCAAAAAAAATTTTTTTGCCCACCCTGAGAAAAGAAGCTGGATCCGCCCCTGTCAATAGGAAAAAAATGCCAAAACATCATGAGCCCTAATGCAGCCCAAATTATTCAAGAATCACAAAACCACTAAAAAGATTTCTCATTTAACCGTCCTTCATAAACCAATACCCTAAAATCTCAGCCCAATGATATAAAACCATTAACCAGCTTACAAACCCTCGCAGCTCCCAAATGCAGAGCAGAGTCGGTAGACATTATTCTCCTCCAAGAATACAAAGGAAACGAATGAAGAACAATTCGAAAAGAAATGACTTACCAATCTTGATGGCGGTGATCCGAAGCCCGCAATCTTTGAGAATGAGGCCTATGCTGCTCGCCGTCACCCCCTTCCCCAGCCCGCTAACCACGCCACCTGTAACCAAAACGTACTTCATCTCCCTACTCTCAAGTCTGCTTAAATGTAAAGCAAGGAGTTCAAAACAATCCTCTATCGATTAATGGTGATCAAAAGGAACACGGAGAGACAAAGAGGAGACATGGAGCAGAGCAAGAGCTCCGGGAGATCCTGAGGACGGTCGAGCTGGGAGAGCTTAAATAGTCACTACAATGTTAAAACTACACTATTTAGCAAGGAAATACTCGACCAAGTTAGTTTTGAGCTTTCATAGTACGAACAATAATATGGAGTGAGAATATCTTATCCAGGTAGTTGATGCGGTCAATGCAATCAATTTGACTCGCTGTCTCATACAAAAATGAAAAATCTTGATTTTTTTTCTCTAAAGATGACCTAATTTTACTATAAATATATCACTTTTAAAATATTATTTTTAAATATTATATATAATATTTAAAAATTGATATATAATATTTATTATTATTTTATACATTATATTATATAATTTAAATATAGTTTAAATATTAATTTAAAGATAAAAAGTTTACAAAAATTTAAATTATATTTAAATATTATATTTAAATAAAAAAATTATCTAATACTATTAATTATATAAAAAAATAAATTTTTGTTGCATCCTGAAATATTTGTGGCAGTAGAGAGAGATGTTAGCATCTTAGCTAGCTTTGTCCGAAGATCCAACACACAAATAAATAAAAGATAGGGGTATAGCGTTCATAAGATACACCAAAAATTCTAAATGAAAAATTCTAAAAATGGAAAAACCTAGTATTAATGATTGATTACAAATTAGGTCCTTCCTTAGGGGGAATATTTTATGTAGTAAATAAGCATTATATATGGCTTGTTACATGGTAGTTGTTTCTTAAAAGAGTGTTGACATGTATGTTTAGTCAATAGGAATGTATTTAGGTGACATAAGTTGGAAGGACTGTAGTCGGCGAACAATAGCTGTCGGAAGGATCATAGGCACCAAGCAACGGTGGTTGAAAGGATAGTAATCGACAAGCAACAGTGGTCAGAGTGAACCTTAGTCGACGGGCAATGATGGTCGGAAGGACCATAGTCGGTGAGCAACGATGGTTGGAGTGGACCATAGTCGGTAGACGAAGATGGTCCAAAGGATAGTAGTCGACAAGCGATGGTGATAAGAGAGACCATAGTCGTCCAGCGATGGTGCTCGGAGTAGACCATAGTTAGCGTGCGACGTACGGTGATTGAAAGAACTGTAATCGGTGGGAGACGGTGGTCAGAAGGACCGCAGTCGACAGACGACGGGTGTTGGAACTTAGAAAGAGGCATTGCATGGATGTCAAATGGAGGTCTAACAAAAATGGTTAAGGAGAAGACTAATAGTGGTGACCATGTGGTGCGAATTCGTCGGTGATGGTGTATGGGTGGAGCTTCAGGATTCTTAAAGCCTCCACACTCTTCTCATCCCCTCCCCTCTTTTATGTGAAAAATGAAAGACTATTTAGAATTTTTTTGAGAGTGTCATGGCTAATAAATATGAAGAAGATCGAGGGAATATTGGAAGTGTTTCAATGGATGATTGATATTAAATCTCTCAATCTTGGATTGTTTATCGAGCATTTGAGTATCTTAATGATGTTATAATTCGATGATCTTAGGCTCGTAGGATTATTCTGATCGAGCTGCTCGATTTGACTATAAACATGTCATATTTGTATATCATATCGTTATCCAATTTATGGTTTGAATCTTTCAAAAGTGATTTGAGCCCTCGATTTAGATCCATTTGTGCTCGAATTGGATTGATTTTGGTGCCATTGGATTAATCTTTTTTTAGACATTTAGTCTCATGAGAAGTTTAAAAAATTGGAGTTTGGATGTTTTTATTTTTAATGCGATTTTCGTATGATTTCTGATTTGTCTGAGATTGATAGATTGAATAGATATGAATGTGAATGTTGATATGATTGCTCTGCATTATTCTTATATTGGCTATTGAATTGATTATTGATACTGAAAGACAAGTGAAAACCTGGTTGAACGTTAGCTATAGAAACCAATGTATGGATATCTACAACAGTAATATGGATTCTACAACAACAACATAGCCAGTTGTTTGTACTTGTTCAGTATTATCGTACTGACTGCATGTTTACTGTATTGACATACGGATTTACTGCTTTATTGATTTGATCGGATTTATGGATTTACTGTATCGTACGATTTCATCGATTTCATTGATTGATCATTGAGCATGGATACTATTGATTATTGACATTGATATAGATATTATAGATTTATTGATACTGCTTATAGACTCATTGATATTATTAATTCTGCATTGTATTGACTTGCTGCATTTAATTTATTGATAGGGTAGATTGAGATTTATCGTATTGCTTTTCCGATTGATTTTATTGACTAGATAGCATAGATTTGATTTGACTGATCGACGGATTCTCCTGAGATTTGACGTACTGATTGATTGAGTTTGATTTATCGGTTCTTCTATCGCTGCACCGACTATTGATTTCATCGACTATTGATTTCATCGACTATTGATTTTCGTACTACATTGACTACTGATTTGATTTTCGTTGCATAGACTCATTGACCATTGACTATTATGGATTTGACCGACTATTGATAGCAGTACCGTGCTTTAATTTCAGTTGTAGGCTTTGGTGACCTGCTGGGCTATTTAAGCTCATTATATGTGGTTGACAATTTCATGTCCGAGCAAGGCAACTTGAATGGTGTTCGATCAGAATGTCAGATGAATCCTTTCACTATTGATGCCTGGGACGTCACAAAATTATTAGCAAATAATTTAACCATGATAAATAATTTAAATTATAATTGAATAATCTGAAGCATTTAAATAATTTTGAATCTTCAAATGATTAAAATATGATGGTGGGTATAAAATAGTTCAAATAAATTACATTACAAATTTTCTTAAAAAAAAAACATGACAAATTATTTTAGTGTGAAATAAATATTTATTTCAGCGTGGGAATTTTATTGAATCTTATGCATAATTGAAATTTTCTATATGGAGGGTCAAGCGTCATGTAACTTTTGCATATCAAAATGAGCTTCTTGACAAGAGAAATCCAACAAATCTAATATTACTCAATTTTAAATAGATTAAGACATTTTAATGTTAAAAAATATCAAATAATCATGAGAATTATTATGAACTGTCAGTTGATGTTCGTAATATTATAAATGAAATGACTAGAACTCTATTTAAAAAATAATAAATAGATCATATTTCTACATATACAAAGATAAATATGTGATACATTTATCTCTATTCATCGATTGTTGACTATCGTCAACCTTCGTCATTGCACGTTCTTCTTTGTCCACGATCATATGGCATAAACATCCGCAATCATATCTCTGTCATAGCCCATCATCTGCTAAACCAATGTCCAATGTCGCTCGTCCATCATGACCTATCATCAAATGACCCAAATATCCGCAATCACTTATTCATCATCTTAGACTATCCATATCCCCACACCGCAGTCTTCAAATACACTTTACGATCATTGCAAGAAACATGCCTTATAATTCAATCCTCACAAAAAGACTTTCAGCACATTCAATAATTATCAATTTAAGCACAAATCATTATTGATTCTTCATTTGAAACAACTCATAAAATAGTAAAAAAACTGCTCCAAACAAAAACTCGAATCTTGTTTGGCTTAATAAAAGAGTGTGCCATATCAAAGAAAAACCTAAAAGGACAAAACATTTGCCAAACTGAAGTGAACAGTATTTTCTGAGTGCCAAAAAGTTCAAATTAATTTCATGTGAAATCAGCACAACTTTGGCTCTAAATTTCTTACCTTTTAAACTATTATTATAATGCTTCGTTTTGTCCTTATAAGATGACAACAGCTCTCATGTACCCCGGCGGTCTATCAGAACTAATGTACTTTGCCGACATATCCGATTGCCACTTGCCCGAACCGGAAGCCGCCGACTGTCTTCTCTTCATTGACACGTGGCAGTCCTAATCATATTGGGCCGGGGCCTCAGGGACCCACAACGCTGGCCTCTACCGACAAGACTTTGCTGTGCCAAGTGTTATCCTTCCATCATCTCTAACCGAAAATCTCATTTTTCACTCTAAAATATCGTGAAGCTACAAAATACCGTGATTTATCTCCAATCAAACTCCACTTTTCACACTTTTGCAGGTAACGGTCCTCTCTCCTTTCCCGCGCCAAGTTCGGTAGAGAGGTAAAAATGACAAAAATGAACAGTGCAACGTCAATATTGGCGTCCAACTGTTCACCCACAGTCAAATAGTGGAAAATTTATGGTTTGGCTGGAGCTGGCCAAAGACGCCATTCAAGTGATTGGAGTACGGTTGGAGATGCCCTTCCCTCTCCTATAGAGAAATATTTTGTGCGGTCATCAAATGATTGAGAGACGAATTAATCATATCATCTCCTACATAGTTAAATACAATAAAAAAATAATGTGACACATCTTTGTTCTACTTTAGATGTTGTTTGATTACCGCACACAATAATTTCTCCTCGATCTGTTAGAAGGTCAAGGTGATCTTCTTCTATTTATTTCTTTTCCATAAATACTTTAAAAATTTATAATATATTATATATATCACATTTAAGTTTTACTTATTTATTAAATTAATATTTATATATTTTTAATTATCAAATATGTGTATTTACACATATAACAATCAAATAATAAAAATTTGACAAAAAATATGAGTTAAGAGTTTATTATGAATTTTGATATTTAAAATAATTTAAAAATTAGAGATAGGAAGGCCAATGTTTTTACATAATATTCTATTTTTATAATTAAAAATTAGTTAGATTTTATCAACATTTAGGACATTTGAAGACATTCTTATGTTCATCGAAATATATATATATAATAGATGGAGAATTATAAGGATATAATACATATTAAATGCTTTATGCAGATGACTATTCTTGAAGCATTTAGGACTTTTTTTTAGGATTTATCTAGCATGTTTTTCAATTATTTTACTTTCATTCCACCACCAGAATTTTATTTGGCAGTTATTTTTTCATTATTTTTTAGGATTTTTTAGTTGTGGGAATGTATTTTTTTACAATCACATCTATTAAAACTTGGAAGATCTAAGAAACTTGTTGTCCAATTTTT